TGGCCGTGCTTGTGCTATGCGTCACGACTGCAGGCAGGTACAATGGGGACGAGAGATTGACCGTGCCGGTCGATCGCTCGCTCAACAAAGAGGGTCGAAGGATCTTTGAGGAGGAGCAGAGGGCCACAGCGTCCGAGCAGACTGCGCATGATCCGTCGCCGGTCGCAACATCCTGCGCCGACAAACGACACGAGTGCCCGCGCTGGGCAGCTCTCGGCGAGTGTGATGCTAACCCGCATTACATGCACCATTCGTGCTCCAGGGCGTGCGGGCGATGCGCCCAAGAGGCCTCGTGAGGCCTGTGGCTCCGAGTGTGCGAGGTTCAGAGGGAAGCTGTCCGGGTGGGTTCGAACGAAGCACTCATGAGAAACGGGGGTCATGGACGTGATATGTAGGATCTGGATTGCATGGGATTCATCCCCGTGACGTCGACTGGTGTCTGTCTCAGTGCTTGTGCACACTCTGCTCGAGTGTTAGGGCCGCCCTGCCGCGCTGCGGTGCACAGAGCACCGCAAAAAAGGTGTGGGCGCGAAGGCGTGCGGCGGCGCAGCACGCCTGGCCCCTTCGCATCTGCTGTTGCCGTCGCGAGGCCATGCTAGAGCGTCAGTGTCAGCTCAGCGCTTCTGAGCTTCTGACAGCGCGCGAGCAGACTCTTCAGGAAAACGAGAAATAGTTCTCCCTGTTTGCCGTGGAGATGCCGGATAGCGTGCGAAATCCAGAGCTCGGCAACCTTGCATTCACGTTTTGTTTAATAACTGCGTATTGCAAGAACGCAGCCGGGAAAGCCCCCAGCCCCACACAGGCCTTGGTTACCCCGACACGCTAAGCACCTCTCACGTACGTGCGCCTCACGTCAAGTCGTCAGCGGCGCTCAAAACTCAAATGCTCAATCACTAAGGTAAATTTCTCCACACACACAAAGTGGTGGGGCAAGGAGGGGCGACCCTCGGCCTCGCATCTCCACACCCGGACACGGGCAGCTGCCAGCGTGCCAGGAGCCCCACACGGCATTCACGTGTACGGACCGGTAACGCTATCGTACTTTGAGATTATACAGCGCGTAGTGTGTCAAAACAGGGAAGCAACCAACAACAAAAGAATTCGCCCGACGCGCCCCACGGCCAGCGCGTCCACGGACCACGCCGAGGCGCATAAGGAAATGCCTATGGAGTGTGAGCACATACAATGCTGCATGCAGTGCTGGCGATTTACTGGTATAGCCCCCCAGAACAATCAAACACTCTACGGCCAAAACAATCAAATGGTGGTAATATTTACCACGACTTCTGAAGCAAAATCTGACTAAAATCTGAGAAATCGGCAAAATACCGGGTATTTCCCAGGTATACCCGGATTTCCCCAGGTATACCCGCAAAATACCCGGTATTTTGCCAATTTGGCTGAATTTGGCCGCAAACCAGCCTCAGACTCGGCTCAGATCCCGAAAATTTGATGATTCCACGGAGTTTCGTAATTTACCATACCACTCTCTGCTCATACCATACCACTCCCTAGGAGAATCAAATAAGTGGTAAATACCACTCATTTACCAGTAAATCGCCAGCACTGGCTGCATGACGGCATGTGCCACACCGATCATGCCCCCTGCGCGAGCGGGGCAGGGTGCGCGCGGCCTGGCGCGCCGCCCCACACACTGATGAGGGAGGGT